AAATGTTAAGAGTGACCCTCAAATGAGAATAAAATGAGAACAATAAGTGAGTTTTCCAAATTTAATTACTTCCCTGATATAACTTTCTTATCTAAAAATGTTGGAATAGTAGAGCCGAGATGGTGTTTCCCTGTTAAAAAAACAAAATCCTGTTTTATTTTCAAGTGGTAGATGGATGTATTAACTGTAAAACTTTAAAAGATGCTAAACAAATCATCCTTAAAAGTTTATGCATACCTTTGGCCCTTGGGAGCTGCTGGAGCCAAGAACCATATGCCTCACTATTATAACTCTTTTTCAAATTCACTTAGACTTGTCTTGGCTACACAATGAGACCAGTGGCCTCTGTGTGGACAGTATTTCTCATCCTGTAGTATGGATCATCAGGAAATTCACATTGCTCAGGAAGGGCCCCAGCCTCCACACTTGGTTAGTATGCACATCTTGGGCTGTCAACCGTGAACAGTGAGTTTGCCTCCTGTGTGAATCTAGGTGTTATAAGTTGGCAGAGTAGGGTGGGCCCAAGTCAAGGGTAAGAATTGTGTGAAAACTATGTCATCATATTTTACAATGCGTAAGGTGGCCTTACTGGGCCTGATAAAAGGTGATGATCGTATTTCTGCATTCATTTATTTCCTTTGTTTCAGCCTTCATCACTTTAACTTCTGTTGACTGTATTGGTTTGCTAGCACTGCCATAACAAACTACCACAGGCTGAGTGGTTTAAAGGATAGAAATTTATTTTAATTGAGCCTTGGAGCCTGGTGGTCCAAAATCAAGTTGTTGACAGATTTGGGTTCTCCAGAAGCTTCTCTTTCTGTCTTTATGTTTGTCTCTGGGTGCTGGGTACATTGGTACCTGTTCTTCTGATAAGACTAATCACACTGGGTAGGATCCACCCACATCACCACTTTACCCCGAATTTCCTGATACAGGCTCCATTTCTAAATACTGTATAGTCCGATTTTAAGGAGGTGAGTGTTAGGATTTCTTATGAATTTTGGATGGACAGCTGTAATGAACTCAGCTGAAATAAATTAAAAATTTAGCTAAAATGAATTACAATTCACATGTAAAATTATCTAATTTAATTTGAAGCTCATTAATTTACTACTCTTTTACAATAAAATGTACTGCTTTTTGCTTGCTACGCCAATATATTCTTGACTATCAGATGAAGATTCTCTCATTTTTGATAGTATTTAAGAAACACTAATAATAATATCTTTACAAAATCACCCCTTTTAAAAGTTTCCACATCTGGGCTGGGGATTTAGCTCAGCGGCAAAGCGCCTGCCTGGCAAGCGCAAGGTCGTGAGTTCGGTTCCTGGTACCGGAGAAAAACCAAAAAAAAAAAGGTTCCACATCTTTAAATTGATTTTGTTTTACTCTGATCTTCTGTTTTGCATTTCTAGTGTTGCAGCTTCTCTTTGATTGCATATATTGCATAACGTCTGTTTGATGCACAAGAATGTAGTTTTTTCTTTCCTGTCTGTGTCTGTCACAGTAGAAAACAGAGCTTCCAATAGACAGTTGACTTTATACTTCAGTGTTTGTTACTGTTGTTAAGAAGAAGCACTTAGATTTGAGAATATTTATCATTTTTCAAACCATTGTGCTCTAATCATGGATCACTTACATTTCTGAGGTTTAATAATGTTTAATTCTATTTGTTAAAGTAAGAGTGATTTATTTAAAAGCTCTATCATCTTTTTAAGTCCAAGAACTAAAGTATTCAGTATCCATTTGACAGTATCATTAACCTTTTAGTAATGAATATTTACTTCTGTGAACATAAATTATGGTAGCACTAAAATCAATTGGAAATGTTAACCAAGATATTGTGGTATCATTTAGTATTTAGGGTTTTTTTTCGACGTCCTACTTTTTGCAGTTTCATTATTTCATTCTTAATTTCTACATGCTGTTTTGACTTTTCTTGATACATTCATTTTATCAAATCAGGACTTTATTCCTCCTTAAATAATCCCTAGGATATCCCTATCTCCCTGAAGCCTTAATACTGTGTATTCTTCAGGTTTATTTTGCTATTTGCCTTCTTTAAAGAAGGAAAAAATTATTTCAGCAATTATGTGTTATTGTATAATGAATGGCAATAATTTTTATCAATTTATAAATATTCCTATTGTTCCTATTTATTTAACTCCGAAGAAAATTACTAATTTGCTTTTACTCTAAAACAAATTATTGAGATCATAACTGGATCTCCACTTCCAAAAATTTTCAAAATTAATTTTTCACAGTTACTGTGGTATACATAATTTTTTGAGAAACAGTTTATTAAGAATATCATAAAATGTTACATGGATTTGAAATGTAAATATTAGGAAAAAACAAATTTTCATTTAGAAAATTGTCTTTAAAAATATATATAACTTTTAAATATGCCTAGAATTAATAAATAAATTCAGTAGTGTAGCTGGATACAAAGTCAACATTCAAAAATTAATAGCATTCCTGTACACAAACAACAAATACACTGAGAGACAAATTAGAGAAACAATACCTTTCACTATAGCATCCAAAAAGTTGAAATACTTAGGAATCAATCCATTTAATAAAAGAAGTAAAAGACCTACACAGTGAAAATTGCATTACTCTAAAAAAAGAGACAGAAGAAAATTTCAGAAAATGGAAAGATATTCCTTGTTCATGGATAGGAAGAACCAACATTGTGAAAATGGCCATACTCCCAAAATTGTTGTACAGATTCAATGCAATCCCAATCAACATACCTTTAGTATACCTCACAGATCTAGAGAAAACATTCCTCAAGTTCATGTGGAACCAGCAGAGACCCACATTAGAAAAAGCAAGTCTGGGCAACAAAGGCAAGGCAGGAGGCAATACAATCCCTGACTCAAAATTATGCTACAAGGATACCGTGATAAAATCAGCATGGTGTTGGCAAAAAAACAGACGTGAAGATCAATGGAACAGACTAGAAGATGCAAACACAGCCACAAACACATTCAGCCACTTTATCTTTGACAAAGGGGCCAAACATGTTCACTGGAAGAAAGACACTCTCTTTATTAATGATGCTGGAAAAACTGGCTTTCAACATGCTAAAAACTAAAACTAAACCCATGTCTATCACCATGCACTAAACTAAAGTCAAAATGGATCAAAGGTCTAACTATTAAAATGGAAATACTAAATCTACTGGGAGAGAAAGTAGGTAGAAATCTTGAAGACATAAGAGTAAGCAGAAATTTCATGAACAAAAACCAAACTGCCCAGGAAATACTTCAGAGAATCAGCAACTGGAATCTCATCTTAGAAGTTTTTGCACATCAAAAGAAATCACTAACAGGATGAAAAGAAAACCCACAAATTGGGAAAAAGTTTTAGCCAACTGTCTCTCAGACAAAGGACTTATATTTAGAACATACAAAGAATTAAAAAAAAAAAATCAGGCCCCAGAAATTCAAAGACCCAATCCAAAAATGGACATCTGAGGTGAATATACACTTCTTGGGTAAAGAAATACAAATGGCAAATAAATACATGGAAAAGTGTTCAACATCATTAGTCATTTCAGAAATGCAAATTAAAACACCCTGAGATTTCATCTCACTGCAGAAAGAATGGCTGTCATCAAGAAATCAACCCATAGCAAATTCTGGAGAGGCTGTGGGAAAAAAGGAACCTTTGTCCACTGTTGGTGGGAATGTAGACTGGTGAAACCACTGTAAAAATCAGTGTGGAGATTCTTCAGTAAACTAGGATTAGAGATCCCATTCAATCCAGCTAGTCTCCTGGGTATTTTTCTAGAGGAACTGTAGACATCATACTACATTGATATATGTGCACCCATGTTTAACTGTGCAATTTGTAATAGTGAAATCTTGGAAACAAGCCAAATGCCCATCAGCTGAGGAAGGGATAAAAAAGCTGTGGTATTTTTATACAGTGGAGCATTAGTCAGCTATAAAGAAGATAAACTTGGGGCTTTTATAGGTAAATGGATGCGACTGGAGACCATACTTAGAAGTGAAATATATCAGACTCACATGTGTAAACATTATATGCCCGCTCTAGTGTAAGAACTTGAAAGAGTAAATAAAATCTGAAAGGTGAAATAGGTATTGTGAAAGGAAAAGATCCTGCTCAAAAGGAAAGAACAATTGTGTTGAGGAAAAGAGAAAGAAAGAAAGGAGGGAAATAACATATCTAAGGTAATTATACCACTAAGTTCTATTGGTTTATTGAAAGGAACAGTTAATATTTAATTGTTTGATCAATGTTACATACCTAGATCTGGTTATCTGAGTAACCACTTTGAAGATAACAATGTGTAATATAATAACAATTGTTAATTTCCTATCACCTTGTTTTGTATTTTTTTTTTGTTTGTTTGTTTGTTTTTGTTTTTCTCCAGTACCAGGAACCGAACTCACGACCTTGCGCTTGCCAGGCAGGCGCTTTTGCCGCTGAGCTAAATCCCCAGCCCCTCATCTTGTTTTGTAATTGTGTATGTTTTTATTGCTTTTATGTTGCTTTGTTTTTGTCTTTTTTGTTATTGTTTTTATTCTTTTCTCTTTACAATAAAATATATAATTTTTGAACATTTCCATAAGTATATTCTTATTTTTGTGATCATTAAAAGTTTCCATTAAAAGAACTTTTCCTTTGTTCCTCATAAAAGAAGTATTTTCCTACATTTTAATATCCTTGAGCCCAGCTCCTCTGCACTTGCATTGAGCTGTATCATGTATATATTTAAGATGTGTAACACATGTAGAGTATCTCTTTAAAGAGCTGATAATTAGATTAAGCATTTGCTGAATAATTCTTAAAATTTTTTATTGGACTGATACTTTTAGTCACCCTAAGAGCCAAATAAATTCTGAGATTCAGTTAATGTTTTGCCTGGCTGCTTTGCCTTTTCTCTGCTTCCTGGCTTCTTCATATGGGCAATTCCTCAGTTCAACCGTGCTTTTGAGTCTAACTCTAGGTTTTGCTTTTTCTTTCAGGATGTTTTAAATAATTTGGGATCTTGTGAACTGGATGAAGATGATTTAATGCTTGATTTAGAATTTTTAGAGGAACAGAACCTTCACCCCTCAGGTTAGTGTTGAGCTGATTCATACTATCATACAAGTCTGATTCTAGCTAATTAGTGGTCTGTGATAAAGTAGGTAGGCTGTTTAAGCTGTGTTCAGTCTTTGAAGTCAGTTCCCACTGTAGTCACTTTTCCATGGCTGGTTTAAAATGCTTAACACCACTGCTGTAAGGAAAATGGTTTCTTTTGGCTCACAGTTCCAGTCCATCGTTCGCTGGCTCCTAGACACAAGCAGCATGGCAGAGGGACACGGGCAGGGAAAAGTTTTACATGGCACTTCAGGAATAAAGTTAAATAGCATTCTAAAAATTAAAAAGGGTCATTTCTGAGCTAAAGAAATTTAAGGATTGCATTATTATGGATTGTAGATTATTTTGTTAGATGTTATTTTGGTGTTCTGTTTTATTTTTGTTAACAAAAATCCTTTATAGAGATGTATGTGGATGAAACAATATGGCATCTGGGATTCGCTTTAGCAAAGAGTATGGAGGAGGGAAAGGGCGCAGTGAGATTGACAGACTATTGGACATTATTAAAACTGGGCAATAGACATGGATTGAAGACTGCTTGGATTCTAGGAGCCATGGAATCACAGTTGAAAAAGTTATAACATCCTTCCTATTTTAATCTAGTTGTGAAGATTTTCGAAGTAATTGAAGTACTTTTAAAAGAGTACAGATAATATAGCAATCTGTTTTGTTTGATAGTCCACAAAGAGCAAAGGATAATTTTAAAATATAAATACTTAGCTCCATATATGTATGTGGGGACAAAAATTAACCTATTGAATTCCTTAAAATAATAGTACTTTATATTTTATTTATTTTCTTTAAAGACAAAATATAGATTATTATTAAAAGTGCTTTTGAATTTAAATTTTATTGTCTAAATTCTGCCTTACATTTTTAAAAATTGATGTTTTGTGGTACTAAATAATTTAAACATTAATTAAGGCACTTGGTTAGGATAGATGGTACAATTCTTTGTGTCAAAACCAATGCATTTAAATACATGAATATATTTTCTTGATATTAGTCAACTATCCAAAATACCATTACAAATTTAAAATAGCAATATCTTGGACAGAGAGTTAATTTCTATTTTCATTTAAAAATTTTATTGTTTATTAAAGCAAATCACTAATGTTCAAAGGGGAAGCCATTCTGCTATGCATATTAAATTTTATTTTTACTATTTGTAAATGAGTTACTTATGGATAATATATTTTACTTATGTAGTGTTCTTTGATAAAAGAATGTAATGTTTATTTGGAGGATTAAATTAAGAAATTTGAAGCTGGTAGTGTTATTGATTTTGCATGTTTTTTCTAAAAATACTTAGGGCAGTATCTCTTGATATTTCTAGATACTAATGGGGAAGTAATGGTCCAGTGATATTAATTAGGAATTAATTAGATGACTGTTAAATTATTTTAATTTGATGAATAAGCATTGTAAAAATTCTGTGAGTGAGGAACTTCTCTTGTGCTTATTAATTGAGGTGGTGATTTGTGTTAGTAATTTTTAATCAATAATGGCAGTGAAGAGGTGAGACGGAGCCCTAGTGATTTTATAATATAAGTGATAATGCACAAAGATTTGCAACAACATTCACATGGGAAAATTATTTTAAAAATTTCATTGTGAGTTTCCACAAGCTCTGATATTACCATGCCAGAAAGAATGTGTAAAGCATCCTTAATCTGTGTGAAGTGCAGAAACAAATGGCACAATTTTGGATGCAGAGCATAGAGGTTAAAATGTGAACCCTGGACTTAGACCAATACCAGCCACCAACCAAGCTATGTACATTTGAGCAAATTATTTCATGTCTCTCAGCTTCCCTTCTTCATGTGCAAATGGAGGCAATGATAGTACCTATCTCATTAGTTTGATGTGAAAAATAATAAGTCAAAGCACAGTAGAATACTCAGTCCAATGCTTGGTATATAATAAATGTTGAAAATCTATATCTAGTACTATTTGAAAAATTATACATAGTAAAATATGACATAACTGAGGTACAATAATAATCTGACCCTGACAATTTTAGTATTCTTTTCAATCTCAGTTAAAAATTTCAGCCATTTTTAAAGTTTACAGTTTGTCGAAATTTAAGAATAAAGTGCCACAAGGTATGCATTTAAATTTGCTTGTTTATTTCCAAACAAACAAGATTCTAACATTAAATACAAAACAACAGAATAATAAATAACATTTGTTTGGTTTAAGTGAGAGTTCAAAGAGGTAAATGACATCCTTTTCGTGTTGGAGAACACTGGGGTTTTGAGTGATAAAGTATTACAGTTGGTAGATGTACTATCTAGGTGCAAGCAAAATTTTTCTGACTCTCAGGTTCTATGTTTAATCACCATAATTCTCTGTGCTAATAAAATTAATTTGCATAAACACTCTAAAACCCTAGGTACGTTGAAACTTTTGTTTATCACTGGCTGTTCTATTACCTTTCCCTGTTATGGGCATCACTTCGTATGTCTGCCTTTCACATCAGCCAAGAAATGTCAGTTAAATTATATTTATTTATTGAAGCATCTGTATTGTTCCCAGCTTGAATTGAGGCATAAGATTCTTTCAATTCTTGCTTTATTTTTACATACTACTTACACCAGGCATGATGGTGCCCCCTTTCAATCCCAGCATTCAGGAAGCAGGGGCAGGAAGATTCCTGAAAGTTTGAGGCTAGCCTGCACTACATAGTGAGTTCAAGGCCAGCCTAAACTACATAGTGAAACTCTGTCTCAAAAATACTCAATCCATACAAACAGGCAAAAATATATAATTTATAACCTCATTGGGTTATCTCATTCTGTACTCACAGTGATTGTTTTAGGTATTATTTACTGTTCTGTCATGATTGATGAAGGAATAGAGACCCAGAAGAACATTATTTCTGTTTCAGGGTTAAGGAGATAGTCCATGGCAGAGGCAGGGTTTAAATTGTAGCTTTGTGATTTTGTACCTACTTACTGTTCGTACTACAAAAATTATAAATCACACTTAGCTCACAGAAGGAGTAGTGATAGATTCGCACAATGTTCTCTTGCAATACATTCACTCTTGTGGTATCATTATAGTAAGGACATAATTGTGATCCAACTTGTCGTTTTGTGGGTTTCATCTTGTGTTATTATCATTTCTGCTGTTAGGGTACCTGTTATCTGCTTGGTTGCCATTAGATGGCAAGCTTGTTCTGATGATGGTGATAGTAATCCTATCACACATTTGTATTCACTTTTATAGTTTAAAAAGTATTTCAAATATGTTATCTCATCAAGTTATCCCAGTAGTTCTCTGAAATAGGTGTTAATATATCCCAACTACAGTGGAGGAAGCAAATATTAATTTGTTTAACAAAATATATTCAGCCAATATTTACATAGTTCTTAACATGACATGATATGGTTCTTTTCACTCTTTCAAAACTTGGCTGTGTTTAATTTTACACATAATTCTGATATATTGGGGCCTGTATTTTCTAAGGTCACTGGAAATCACAGTCACATCTTAGAAGAGAAGTTGCTTCAATTAGGCATGTTAGCTGTGTTGCGCAAGAACTGTTAGCCCAAAGGCAAGGGAACAGGCAAAGAGCTTTGAGAAGTTGACAGAGACATCAAGCAGAGTGGTGTGGAGCCACTTAACACAGACACAAACATCCCTGTCCATGTCAGCAGGGAATGCAGCTTTAATCTGTTTGCAATGTGTTACTCTATGCTTTTTAAAAAAATTTGAATGGTACTGAATCATCCAGAGAAAAACTTCTGTAAACTGAGAAAGACATAAATAAGTAAAATTCATTTTGGAAATATTTTTCTCTAAATTTTTATTAGCTCTTTCGTGTATTAAATTGGAAAGTAGTGCAAGTTCTTAATAAACTTTATCAGAAAGTATCCTTTCATAAGGATTCTGTATCACAAGCAGTTGAAAATACCTTAAAGACTTTTTATATACTTCATTTTTTTCTTATATCTGCACTATTTTCTGGAAAGGATTGGCTAGTTGTAAGGAGAACTGTGAAAAAAGTCTACTGCCATCTTTGAAAAAGCAGTCATTTGATTGTGTTCTACTGGTAGAAAGATGCAGATCATATTACCTAAACACAAGACTGTACAAGTGCCTCTAAT